CAGCCCTGAGCTGCATAGACTTAGCTATTCTGGCAGGCTAATAAATGCAGAGATCTGCCTCTTCCAGAGCCCTGGGGTGACAAACAGGCACCACCAACGCTGGTACTGGGATCTGAACTCGGGTCCTCATGCTTACACAGCAGACACTTAACTAACCAAGCCTCACACTCTTAGGCTCTCTGTAGCAGTCCATATCTTAAATATTAAGAGTTCCCTTTTAAATAAAGTTTTTGCTTGCTTGTTTGTTTGTTTGTTTGTTTTGGGGGGGCATTGAGACAGGGTTTCTTGGTCTAGTCTTGGCTGTCTTGAAACTCATTTTGTAGACCAGACTGGCCTCTGCTTCCTAAGTGCTAAGATTAAACGTATGTGCCACCATGCCTGGCATAAAGTTTTCTAGCTATGCTACCATGGAATTCATATCCCTTTAGATAGAGACAAGTTAAAGCCAAATATAGTGGTGAGCATCTTTAATGCCAGCACTCAGGAGGCAGAGGCAGGAGGACCTCTGTGAATTTGAGGTGAGCCTGGTCTACACAGAGAGTTCCAGAACAGCTATGGCTACACAGAGAGCCCCTGCCAATAAACAAACAAACAGTCAAGTCCGTCAAGTAGCCCCTTCTAAAGGACATGGAATACCGAGAACATTCCCCTTTGTGGAGGTCCTGCTGACTTAGGTGTTCTTCCTCTTCTAGATGGCAGACTGTGGAGGACTGCCCCAAGTGGTTCAGGTAAGAAAGTGTTCATAATAATTACAGAGAGAGAGAGAGAGAGAGAGAGAGAGAGAGAGAGAGAGAGGAGAGAGTCATTGCTACCTCTCCACCTATGCAAAGAGCAATGCCTTCTTTTTTAAATTTTTCGTTTGTTATTGTTTGCTTTATTTATTTATTTATTTATACATTCATTCATTCATTTTGAGACAGGCCGTTACTATGTAGCCCTGGCCAGCCAAGAACTCACTACATAGACCAGGTTGATCTCGAAGTCACAGCGATCCACCTGCCTCTGCCTCTGAGTGCTGGGATTAAAAGCTTGTGCCTCCATGCCCAGATGATTTGTAGCACGAATAATAAAAATCCAGAGACAGATATACGGGTTAAAGTTGAAGATAGAGAAGCAGAGCAGCCAGCCATTAGAGAGACCTTTTACCTCTGTCAATGCTCAGACCAAAGGGGCGATCCTCAGACTGCCTAGACTGCACTGTGTCTCCACCAAACCTCAGACTCTACACTCCAGTGAGTTCCTGTCTCTGCCCAGCCATATCGCTCCTGTCTCCACCTCCCTAGTGCTGGGATTAAAGATGTGTAACTCCCAAACACTGGGATTTAAGGTGTGAGCCACCACCACCACCTGGATCTGTTTCTGCATGGATCTTGTGTAGCCCAGGGTAGCCTTGAACTCACAGAGATCTACCTGCCTCTGTCTCCCAAGTCCTGGGATTAAAGGTGTGTGCCTGGCCTCTAGTGATTTAGCTTTGCACTCTGATCTTCAGGCAAGCTTTATTTATTAAAATACAAATAGAATACCACCACAGTGATTGATGACTTCTTGTGTTGTCCTCCCAGGCTGGGAAGCTCACCGAGGCCTTCAAGTACTTTTTGCAGGGGATGGGCTACAGTAAGTAGTATATGCTCTCTATTTATGGGTGATGGAGTGAGTTTGACATCTGAGAGTTCACGGTTCTCAGAATATAACCGACCCATCAACTAATCAGCCTTAAGTGGAAACCAATGAGTGCGGGGCTTTCGTCTGTGCCTGTGTATGAGATGGGCAGCCGCTCATCAGCATTTACCTGCGTCAGGAGGTCGTTGGGCACGGACAGCAATCGCACTGTTCCGGACTTACACTGTAGAACACGTCCTACTTGTTTGTCCTTTTGTTCTTTGGTTTAGTCTTGCATGCACTGCAGGTTTTGGTGACCAGTGTGTGTTCCCAAAGCCACCTTCCTAATCACTGTATGAATGGTGTGGTCACAGCTAAGAGGCTTTACTCTGCCTTTAGGGTTTCCCGTCAGACTCTGAAGTCAGATCTGGGGAGAATCCAGATGCAGGAGATCACAGCAGCCTTGCATACAGTCACTCACCTAGAGCAAAGGGTGCAGAGGGGGCACCTCTTATGCCGTGCTGGCATCATCTTAGGTGGGATGGGAAAGGTGAAGTCTTAGGTGAAGCCTGTAGAGCACTTGAGCTTCTCCGAGCTCCTCCTCCTGATCTCCTGGTTCTTTGTTACAGTACCATCTGCCAGCATGACCCGGCTCGCCCGATCACGAACGTACTCAGCCCCCAGTAACATCGGATCTGAAAAAATTTATTTCAACCAACTTGTGGCCAGCATTCAGTCAGATGGAGTTCAAGAAGCCTGTGAGGCCCCTAATCTCCCGAACACACACCAGACCATGAAGGTGCCCCGCTAAGCAGATAGGTCCTCTCTGGATCATGTAAGCCCCTCCTTCAGAGGACCACTCCATAATAGAACATTTCTGTTCTGCATCAGCTGGCCTCATGCATGCCCACGGCATCTCTCTCTCTTTCTAGTAGCTTGGATTTGCCAGTCTCTCCACATACCCCTTTCCACCTGTGCTAAGAACCACACCCATGCCCTTGCTATAACATTTCAATGTCATTTATCGAGTTAGTATGTGCAAGGGTGGAGGTGAGGGAACAACCTTCATGAATTGGTTATCTTCTTCACCCCTGGGATTGAACTCAGGTGATCAGGTTTGGTGACTTTACCCAGTGAGCCATCGCACAAGCCCCAGATTCCAACATCTTGATCCGATCTGATCTCCATATCTTCTCTTGCCAGCCTTTCCCTGTGCTCCCTCAAATATGTATCTGACGAGATTCTTTGATTCTCAACTCCATGTGTGTGCGAGCACGCGTGTCTGTGTCTGTGTGTGCATAGTTCTGTGATTTTTAGACATGCTTTCTTGTAGCACTTCTGCAAAGGGACTTTTTTGCACTCAGTGGCGTTTTAAAGGGAAATATGCAGAGCAGATATCTGGATGGCTTGGGCCACAAGGTTGGATTTTGGTTTCACTTGGACAACATTTGCAGTGATTTTAGGAGAGAGCGGGTCTGAGGGATGTGGGGATGTAGTTACTGTGTGGACCATTGACTGGCTGGGACCAGTAGCAGGGTCTGTAGAGATTCCACAGAGTCATGGCATCTGGCTTGAATTCCAGTGTTATAGCACCTAGACTTTGAACTATCCGTTGTTGCCGGGCGGTGGTGGCGCACGCCTTTAATCCCAGCACTTGGGAGGCAGAGGCAGGAGGATCTCTGTGAGTTTGAGGCCAGCCTGGTCTCCAAAGGGAGTTCCAGGACAGGCTCCAAAGCTACAGAGAAACCCTGTCTTGAAAAACCAAAAAAAAAAAAAAAAAAAAAAAAGAACTATCTGTTGTTTAAAGTCAGTGATTCCTGTCTATTTCCTCTTCCCAGGATAATCCATGTGTCCCTCTTTGGGTTCTCCTTGTTCCCTAGCTCCTCTTGGGCTGTGGATTGTGAGTTAGGGATTGGGGGGCAGAAGGGAGAGGATGGGAGATGAGAACATGAGGAAACGAATGGTCAAGTTGGGAGAGGGATGGAGAGGGAGAGCAATGAAAGAGATATCTTGATAGAGGGAGCCATTATAGGGTTAGAGAGAAGCCTGGTGCTGGGGAAATTCCCAGGAGTCCACAAGGATGACCCCAGCTAAGACTCCTAGGAATAGTGGAGAGAGTGCCTGAACTGACCTTCTAACTAACCTATATGCTGTCATAGAAGCTGACGGGAGCAGAGGCAGAGATCCACAGCCAAGCACTGGGCTGAGCTCCGGGGTGTCCAGTCGAGGAGAAGGACAAGGATTATATGAGCAGGGGCTTCAAGATCATAGTGGGGAAACCCACAGAGATAGCTGACCCGAGCTAGTGGGAGCTCAAGGACAGCTGGGGAGCCTGCATGGGACCGACCAAACTAGGCCCTCTGCATGTGGGTGACAGTTATGTGATCTGTTTGTGGGGCCCCTGACACTAGGACCAGGATCTATCCCTGGTGTATGAGCTGACTTTTTGGAGCCCATTCCCTATGGTGGGATGCCTTGCTCAGCCTTGATGCAAGGGGAATGGGCTTGGTTCTGCCTCAACTCCATGTGCCAGGCTTTGTTGACTCCCATGGGAGGCCTTACCCTTTCTGAGAATTGAATGGGAGGTTGATGGGAGGGGAGTGGGAGGAGGGGAGGGAGGGGGAACTGTGGTTGGTATGTAAAATGAATTTTTTTAAAAATTCAGGGTGATGTGGCTGTACGCAGAAGGCAACCTCCAGAAATCACTTCTCTTACTTCCACCATTGGGTCCTGAGGATTGAGCTGGTGTCATCAGGCTTGGTGGCAAGCATCTTTGCTCACTGAGCCATCACACTGGCCCAGAAATGAGTCCCACTTCAGAGTCCCTCATGGAACAAGATCCTAGGTGATTCCTATGCCTAGATTTCCCCTCTGAATATTTGGACGCAAAGCTGCTAAGATTAAGTTCTCTGGTGATTTCTGTGGACAGGCCTGCATGGGAAGCTCCTGCTCATCCCTCCTCATTCTTAATTCCTTGCATCATATGGATTCAAAAAGCCAAGAAGGAGCTCCAGCATGAGGATGGGAGGGGCAGCTGCTCCCAGGAACAGGAAAGGGGCAATGTGGTGCCTCCATGGTCTATGATGCCGTCAGAGGAAACAGAGGCGGGGAGGCTGTGGGGTTATGAGAACCACAGAGTCTGCAGCTGGGAGCTGGAGCTCTGAGGAGCGACACCTGTGTCTACAAGGGGCTCAGATCCCTGGGCCTCACTCTCTGGCCCCGCAGTGCTGGTTAGGACAGCCTGGTCTGGTTTCCCCGAGAAGCAAAAGGTGCCTGCGCCAGTATTGTGGAAATGGCTGTCCACTAACAAGACTAAGCTTACCCCAGCTTACTCCAAACGCCTCTGGTGATCCTCCAGGCTGAGATCTGAATGTGCTGGTATCTACAGTGACAACTAACTTAGCACCTGCAAAGGCCTGACCTGTCAGGCTCAAGTGTGAGTTGCCCAAGTACCCTCACCAAACTTCTGATGACAAACCTGTAAGTATGCTTGCTTTTTTTCTTTCTTTCTGGTAGACTTGGGACAAGTGAGAAAGAATGGTCTCCTCTGGGACTGGGAGTGAGCTTTGTAGTCAGGCTCCAGGACGACATGTACCAAACGATCCGATCTCGTCTGTAAATGTGGCCAACACCTGTTTACCCTCGGCCTCACTGCCACTGCCTGGGCCTCGTCTTCCCCACTAGTTACCGTGCCTTATCCAAACCAGGAAGAGAAAGTTGCAGAGTCCTGGAGATGTGTCCAGCAAAAAGCAGGGCCTTTATGGCCCCAAGGGTCCTAAAGGTTGTGGCCCTGCTGAGCCAGAGTCAGGAAGTTAATCACCTCCAATCCTCCCTTCAGCCTACTGGAGTCAGTGTTATGATCCTTCATCGCAGGAGACCCTACGAGCTGCATGCTTTGCTGCATGCTTTGCTGCATGCTTTGCCTGAGGTCACACAGCTGGTCTGAGTTAGTCACCCATGCTACCCATTGCAGATGTAAAGCCAAGCACTAAACTTGAACCTCATACTCATGGGCAGCTGAAATGGAAGACTTTTCCTGGTAGTGAGTGAATCCCAGCCCTCAGGAGGCAGTAGAATCACCCCTCTCACCAAGGCCACCCAGTCCCCGGAGTCTGAGAGGAAGGGGCCATCCAGAGCCAGTCGTGGGGCCCCAGCCTGCTTGGTGCTCCTGAGCTCTGCTGTGGACTCTGAGCTGCACAGAGAGGTAGCAGAGAGCTCTGTTTCTCCAGCTGATGAAACGGGGCTGCAGGACAGGTGGGCAGAGGAGTGGGGGCTGGCACAGAGGAGCAGTCCTCCCAGCACGACTGGGTCCACTCCATGGGGACTGTTCTAGGACATGGATGTCATCCCATGGCATTGATGGACAACACCCTAATCCAGGCAGCGTGTGGCCCTAGGGCAAGGCCATGACTGGCTCTGGATGGCCCCTTCCTAGGGTTAGAGAGGAGCTAAGGGGGAGCCAAGAGGCCTTGGGATGGGAGTCACAGCAGAGGTGACACTGAACAGTTATTGGTGCAAACAGCCGGGAATCTGTCAGTCCATGTGACACAGAGGTGACTTGCAAGGCTCTGAGTGTCACTTCCACTCTGGTGCCCCTTTCCTCATCTGAGAAGTGGGGATAACCACACCCAACATTTGGGTGTGATAGATAATGCCCTGGAAAACCAGCCCTGGGGCCATACTTCCTTCCTGGTTTTGAAGAGCCTGTTACAAATTCTTCCAGGAGCTTTTCCTTTTTCACTTATTCTGTTGTGTTCCTGAGAAGTTTTTGTTTTTTGTTTTTATGAGACTATGAGCTATAGGACTGTGTTCCCTAGGTTGTCCCCAAACTCTTAGGGTCAACTGGTCCCATTGCTTCACAGTCCTGTGACTGCCAGCAGGCTCAGTTGGAATATTTGTTCAATCCGCCATTACCCTACAGTTCCATGTCCTGTCCTCAGCATTGTGAGGCCCACTGAAGGCTCCCAATACACATCAACAGAATGAACCAAAGTGAGCAAAGTGCTGTCCTCGGACTAAGCACATCCTTGGTTTCTAGAGAAATGTTGATTTTCCAATAATTTCTATTAAGTGTTTCAGTGAGGGGGGCTGGCTCGCTAATCCTTTCCAGATATCTCATTGATTATAGTAGGACAGCTTTTAATCTCATCTTTTTGGTTCCATTCAAATGCCATTCACTGAGTTTGTTTTCTGTGCCAGGCACGGCCAAGGGTTTAAAGTTGGAAGGAGCATCTCACAGATTAGCATGGGCTGTGTCCCCATAGCAGCAAGCACACTTTTCAGGTCTCTTTCAGCAGTGTGCTCCTGAGAGTCTGCTGAGGAATGATGGGAAGTTGGCCCAGCAGAGAGAAAAGCCTGCCCACAAGCTCCAGCACCATCTCCTCTGGTCCAGTCCAGGGACCTGTGTCCACACAAGCAGGTAAATTATGTCTGTGGGGCCACCAGGCCCTTCCCAGGTCTAGGGACATAGAGCTCATCACCTGTGGGTCTTTGGCCAACAACCCCAACACAACCCCAAACTTCAATGAGAGCCATGACCACTCTTGCCAGTGAGCCACGAGCTCCCAGCTTCTGCTGAACTTGCAATAGTGGTAAGAACATTAATGTGAGGGGCTGGAAGTAGAACTCGGGGTTAGAGCCTGTGGCTCCATCCTCAGCACATGCACAAAAATGTGTTTGAAGTTGGGCATCATGCTAGCTGCAGCAATGCAAGCCTATACATCCTTCATTTAGAAGGCGAAAAAAATTGTGGGTTTATGTCTAGCCTGGCTTACACTAAAAGAGCCTGTCTTTAATTTCGCAGTGGGGGTGGGGGGGTTGCCTTGTTTGCAAACTCCTCACAGAAACATCCAGACTGGTTTGACCAGATACTATCTAAATGCTGTGTGGAGCCATGGTGGTCCAGAGAATTAACCATCACGGATAAGGAGATCATCTACACCCAGAGGCACTGTTAGGAGGGGTGCAGGGAGTATTAATAACCTACACTAGAGACTGCAGAACCAAGACGGCTGGGCATCTTGGCTTAGGCACAAACTGTTGTTCCTCAACACCCAGATCCCTTAAAGTGGCAGAGTGTCTTTTCCTGTTCTGTACTCAAGCCCCTACCTCCCTGCTACCAGCACCCAGACACCCTGGGCGCCCCCTCATCTACAGTGAGAGACCTGCAGGAAGAGCCCTGAAAACCACTCCGACCGCCCCTTTTTCCACTGAGTTAATTAGAGGCAGGTGGCAGGCTACTGAGTCATCCGGGTGCTTCTGAGGGTAGTGACCACCCCTGGAAGATGTACCTGGCTCGGAGAACCTTTTCTTCCCTCCATATGGCCTCCAAGGAAGGGAGGCCGATCATCTCTCAGTGGAACTCCTTGTCCTAGAGGAATATGGGTTTTCACTAGCCTAGTCTAGGAGCCATTTGTCCCCCCAGACCTGGCTCCATCTGGAGCTTACTGAAGCTCTGCCAGGTGCCAAGCTATGTGACAGGAGCTGAAGACACCACGGATAAGATGGGTCCGTCCCTGCCCAGAGACAGAAGCTAAACCACTGAGCGGTGGCCATGTTATGTTTGTGACGAGTGTTGTGGGGATGAGAGTGTGCAGAGGGGCAGGTCAGAGTAGCCTTTCTGAAGAAGAGAAGTGTGAAGGCGAGCCGCTGGGCCAGTGGGAACTACTCGGGAGACTGCCCACTCAGGAGGGCAAGGAACCTTACCAGCTTCTTTGTTCCAAGCTTATGGAAGAGAGACCTCCATAGGAGGGAGGCATCAGGCATTCCCAGCTGCTGGGACACCAGACTCTGGGCAGGAAAGGACACCCCCCCCCATCTGAAAAGCTTCCTGCTGTGAGGGTTTCTACTAACCTTTTAAGAGAGAAGACGTGGTAATGGGTGCTCCTACCTACAGGAGAGACCATTCAGCCCCTACCTATCTCATGGATCCTTGTATATCTGTCGTCTCCCCCTTCCCCACAGGAGCCTCAGCTCCCTCTTGAGAGCATCCCAGAGTCCTATGGGACCTTGGTACTTTGGGAGCTCCTTAGGGACAAAGAACCTTCCCGTTGACCTTGACTACTTTTCCTGGCATCCTGAGTCCATATGTTAGCAAGTCCCTCTTTTGGGGACCCTTACTAAGAAAGGACGGAGGAAGAAAGGAAAGTGAGGTCGGCGAATTAGTTTTCAACAGACACCTACAGGCCCTGCAAGCTTAAGGAGGGGTTGCTAGACTGTGCGGGCTCATGTGAGGAAAGTGGGGGTCCCCTGCTTGCCGCCTGATGCCCCACTTCCGAACTGGACTTCATGCCCACTGAGTCCTCGGGGCCGTTTCTAGGGTGACCAGTGTCTTAGCCTCACTCTAGCTCCGTGACTCGGGCCAGTCACTCCTCCACTGGAGTCTTTGCCTCCCAGGAAGCTGGGGCCAGTCCTGAGAGGTGCAGCCGTCAGCCAGCCCCTCACTCTCCCCTCTCCCCAGCCTGGGCCTGTGAACAGGGTGGTATGGAATTGGAATATGCCCCTCCCCTTGCTGAGAGCCACATCAAGGCCTTGAGACCTTTCTGCAGAGTAGAGATGACTAGGCACACCGATGTCAGGGCAGTGGTAAGGTGATAGAGGAAGACCCCAGTAGGGCCCCATGTGTGGGGTACAGTCAGGGTTATCAGGACTCTTAGTCACATGCTCCCGTGGGGCACTTGCCCTGTCAGGCCTGCAATAGCAGCCTCTGGTGGCACTTCTCAGGGACAGCACAGGCCTTCACTCGCTGCCCTGGACATAGGCTACTGGGAGTCCAGCCCGTGCCTGTGTGCAGTGCTCTTGGGTTGACAGAGCCTGTTCACAGGGGCATCTCTCCAGGGGCCTGACGTAGGAGTAATTGGGACACCAGAGTCAGGTGTGGCTAGCCTCAGCTCACAGACCCTGCTTTCTGTCTGCTCACCGCAAGTCACTGCTGGTGCTAGCTCTGCCCTCCTTCCTGGAGCCCCAGGCCGAGCTATTAGCCTTCCTGAGTTTCCTCCCAGCCCGCCCTCAGAGCTGTGCGGCCACGCCACCCCTCTCAGAGGCCCACTCAGATCTGTGTTGATAGGGGCTTCTAGCTGCCCTGGGCGTTTGTTTTGATTTTAGTTTTGTCATGGGGCCGGGGTGGAACCCGGGGCCTTGCACATTCTAGGCAAATGCTGCTCTGTTAAGCTGTATCCCCAGCCCTGTAGGTGTTCGGTTTCCCAGTTGTGGAATCCTTCATCAAGGTCTCTGTAGAAGTTATACGTATAGGGGGGCTCGGCCAGGAGCCTGGTCCTCTAGCCACATGCACTGAAGGCCCTCATGGGACCCCCAAAGCTATGTGGGCTCTTCCAGGTTCTATAGAGCCTGCCGGGAGCATTTCAGACTCTGGGGTTACCCTCCCTCCCCCTCACTTCAGGGTACCCGTGGGAAGGGTGAATGAGGGGAGCCAGACCAAGGCAAGAATCTACTGACTCATGCCTTGAGGAAGCACTGACTAAGGGGGCAAATGTGTTTATCCCTCTGTCTGTCTAGAGAGAAGCAAGGTCACAGCGGTGGCCCTGGGCAGTTTTCCAGCAGGTACACAGGCTGGACTGTCTCTGAGACTTGGGGAGCCACTGACCATCGTCTCTGAGTAAGTCTACACACTGGGTCCTGAGGTGGTACTGTGGGAGAGGGCCCTTCCACTGCCAGCAGGAAGGCACAGGGCCACTTTTAAAAGCTCCCATGTGATTGTATCTCTGGGTGGTTTTCTGGCAGCCTGACACACTCACAGGGAGAGAGGGAGTGGGATCAGGTCTTGGAACAAGAACCATGGATCATTTGCACCTGCTAGGCCCTCACCCAAGGAGGAGCCTGGATTAGCTGGTGTGGGGATTCTGGGAAATACGTAGAAAGGGTGCCACAAGTTCCCCTTGGAGAAGCCCCTGCAGATGCAAAATGAAGGTGGTCCTCCGTGATCTCTCCACAGGGATGGAGATTGGTGGACAGTCATATCGGAAGTCTCGGGGAGAGAGTACCACATCCCCAGTGTGTACGTGGCTAAAGTCTCCCATGGGTGAGTACCCAGCCCAGTCCCACCTTGAGGACCTTCCTATACTCTTCCCACAGCATCCTCTTTATGCATAGCTGCAGACTGAACAGAGCCTGGGCCCTGGCCTTCAGAGGAGCAGACAACTGTCATGTCTTGTTCGGGTTGGCCCATGAGATTTGGGAGCCCAGAGAAGGCCCCGTAGAGGAGGTGTTGTGGTGTGGGCCTTTGGAAGGTGGCCAGGATCAGGTGTAGAGAACCCTGAAGGGGACATGTAGGAGACAGGCATAGTCTGTAAGGTCATCCTGAGGTGGGAAATCAAGGGGGACTTCTTGTAAGGGTGTGCGGATCAGCCGTGGAGCTGGAGGACTGGGCAGTGATGCCAGAGGCTGGGGCAACCTGTGCTGCCCTGCCATGCCCTGCCCACAGTCCCTCCTCCATCCCACTACCTCCCAGACACTTGGTAATGAAGGCTCCAGGCAAAGAAAGTCTGACCCTGCCTTTATAGGGCTGTTCCCCCAAAGTCTCTGGAGTCAGGACCCTGAGAGCAACTCTTGGAGGGACCTCTGAGCCTCTGAGGCCTGCTCAGAGGGAAGCCCAGAGGGCAAGGGAGGGGAGAGCTTGTCAAGGTCAGGCAGAGGTATATTAAATCCTTTTAATAGAATTCTATTAAAGCCCACAAGCTTAACCTGTTCCTCTCCTTGCTCCCCAGGTGGCTGTATGAGGGTCTGAGTCGGGAAAGAGCTGAGGAACTGCTCTTGTTGCCTGGGAACCCCGGAGGGGCCTTCCTCATCAGAGAGAGCCAGAGCAGGAGAGGTGGGTAAACTCAGCCTCCACTAGACACCTCTCCAGAGTGAGGCTCAGGCTAGAGGACACGCTGTCACCACTCCTAAAGGTCAGCGGAGGTTTCTTGAGTCCAGTTAGGCTCTGACTGTAAAAGGCCCTGAGGTGGAGCCAGGCTGTGAGGGAAAAGAAAAGACAGCTGACCTGGAACAATCAGCGGGAGACTTTGTGGAGTGGGTTCCTGAGCTTGGAGTTGAGCCACGCTGCTTCCATGAGGGTCCTTGGACAACAGAGCAAAATTGGTCTTAGTCTATATTTTGACGACTAGGATTGCTGGGCCTTTAATCCCAGCACTCAGAGGCAGGCAAATCTCTGTGAGTTTGAGGTTAACTTGGTCTACAGAGCAAGTTCCAGAATAGCCAGGGCAGTTACATAGAGAAACTCTGTTTTGAAAAACAAAAAAAAACCCCAAACAAACAAAAAAAACCACATGGGATTTACTCTGACCAGCAGTGGGAACCCTTCTTTACAAGACAGAACATGAGAGGACCTCTTGGCAAATGTTCATCACAAGCCATGCACCCGAGAAAGACTTCAAGAGTCAAAAATACAGTCTGCTTGTGACAGTCTAGAGAGGAGTCCCTGCAGTGCAGACAGACTGAGCTTACTGCATGGGCTGTCTGTTGGGGGTCCTTGCTCTGCACCTCCCCCTCAAGAGCTTCCTAGATTAACCTTCCTCCAGCCCCTCACCCTCCTAAACACCACTGGCTGCTGCTGCGGGCGGTGGTGGGGCACCTGGCTCCAGTGTGGCAGCTGCACAGGAAACCTCAGTGGTGGTGACTGAGACAGGGGCCCTGCAGAACTACCAATTGTGAGCTAGAAAAGCCACAGGAAGTGCTCAGGGCTTAGCACCCCACCCCACCTCTGACCTGGTGCAGTCCCAAGAGCATAGTGACCACCCCTTGTGCCATTATCCCTCCCTTTTGATTAAGAAGGAGCTATCACAAGGAAAAATCATGTAGAAGCCAAGAGGATCCATGAAGATCTTCAAACACCTGGAAGGGTCCTCAGGAATTCTAGGACCAGTGTCCCTGTCGCCAGCACCTAGTGGGGGGTCACTCAGGAAACAACTCTCATCAGAAACAGAAGACCCCGTGTTAGGGCACTGTGGTGCATGCCAGTAATCCCAGCACTTGGGAGATAGAGCCCAGAGGAGCAAGTGTTCAGTCACAGTCAGTCCTGAGTTCGAGGCTCAGCACCCATGTAAAATGTCTGGCCCGGTGGTGTATGCTTGTAATCTCGGTACTAGGGATGCAGGACAGGAGGATCCCTGAGGCGTGCTAGCTTACACATACAGAACAAACAAAAACTTCCCATGCTGACCTTGTAGAATGGTTGTCTCTCCAAGGCTTCCTTTGGACAGCACTGCTGAAGGGCATACCCTACCTAGCCTGGGAAAAGATCACTTTAGTTCACTGCTTACAGACCCGCGGGTCTCTGTCCAGGGATGCACAGACGTGCCTGCAGGCCGGCTACCCAACACCCAGCATGCTAAGCCTGAGGCCGGGCCTGAACATCCTCTTCTCTTACACTGCTGGCCTGGGGAGCTGGCTTGGAGACCACATTGGAATCACCCGGAGGAGCCTGTAACATGAATGCCTGCACTCCAGGCTTGAGCTTCTGATTCAATTGGTCAGGGATGTGTCCTAGAATCTGGAATCTGAAAGGGTGCTGTGGGGTGAGACCCCTCACCGGGCAGGGCATGTTTGTAGTGAAGTAGAGCAAGAAATCCCTGGCATATGCTGGAGTCGGAGGTGCTGGGGGCAGTCAGACTTGTTTCAGATACTTAAGTATATCCTGGGTGACTGTGAAATTCGATGCTAAGTTCTAGGGTCCTGAATGATGTCATAGAGTGTGGCTCTCTGAAGCACAGGGGTCACTGGGATGCTCTGGACTTGGTGACAGTGCTGGTTTTGCCACTACAGACATACTAGGGGTGTGCTTTCAAAGTGACAGAGGAAAACCCAGAAGGAAGTAATAGAGAAGTCATGTTGCCTGTCGATCACGGGGAGAGAGAGAGACTTTTACTTATATTCTGTGCATTTTGTCACATATGACATCGTAACCACTGACTGGGTGATATCAGGATCACCCTTTCTCCTGTTTTTCTGCAGTACTGGGAATCAAACCCAAATCCTCAGATACTTTTGGAGACAGGGTTTCACTGAGTTGTTCAGACTGGCTTTGAATTCATTCTGTAGCCTGGGCAGGGCTTATGATCCTCCTGCTTCCACCTGAGTGGTATGGGCTTTGCCCATTGTACCTGGTTCCAGGATCAGGCTGAGATTCTAGAGGAGTGGAGCCTGTGTGTGCACCAAGGAAAGCCTACAGCCCTGAGAACTCAAGAACACCCTCTCAGCCACCCTCCACACCTCCTCAGAGTTCCTCTAACTTATCTGGCTCTGCTGTAGGCCTGGGGAGAGCCAGGCTTGCGTATTGCTCTATGAAGGAGGTCCTAATCACTACACAGGTCACAGGACTGCTCCGGAAAGCTGTCCCGGGATTTAGGACAGGTTCCAACAAGCAGCATTCCCTCACTCTCTGGCCGTCACCCTGTGCCCTCTTTGTGTTGGATTCAGTGAGGGAAATGAGTGAGCAAGATGTGGCTGTTCCTCTTGGGCTCAGCTCTGCCCACTCTCCGGTGGCCAACACTTCCCTAGTGGTGGCTGAGTCACATTCTCCACACTGTGGCTCCCAGTCTCCAGCTGCAGATGGGAGGACCTAGGGCTCAGCATCTCTTTAGGTCATTGGCTCCTTCATGATCTCAGTGGAGGAAGTGCAGACAGGGTCTGCCAGGTATTTCCCCCAGGTAGATCCTGATGGCATCCCTAGCTTCTCCCAGCACCACTAGAATGCCCAATCCCAGAAGTTCTGGGCATGAGTGCCTAAGCCTGCTAGAGCACCCAGGACCACCTACACTGCCTTTGGTCTGGTAAGTCATCTTCTAGACCCTCTGTGCCCTCTAGTTCCACTGCCTACCAGGTACTCATTTTTTCCATTCTACTTCCTGGCACGTGGTCCCACAGCCTGGAAGCCACCCCCCACCCCCCGACTTCTCCCCTGGGCAAATATACACTCATCCTCATGGTCCAAGCAGCCATTGTCACCTCCCTAGGCTGCCAGTCCTCTAAGCTCCCACAGCGTCTTGACCGGTTCTCCCTTGCAGCTGTAGGGAACTAGTGTCTTGCAACAAAGTTGAAAGCTGTGTTCTGAGAACAATGGAGCTCCTTGTCCATTGAGGACCATCAAGGACAATCCCTGTGAGGAGATGGGTGGGCAGATAGCTCCTATCATCCTTACATCTCCGTCTGGGCCTGTGCACTGTCTGGCATTGTAGTAGGGGCTCAGACGTTTGTTGGAGAAATGAATGAGTCTGCCTAGATAGGCAGAAAGCTGGAGTAAACTGTCTTCCAGTTTAATACCAGACAGCCAGACAGGCCCCGACTTGCCTCGCACACCACCAGCTCCCTCATCCATTCAGGCAGATGTTGTCTTGTGTGCACTAAGCAAGGGTGGAGCTCCTGAAGGGCCCTCTAGACCCATGGCCAGTAGGGGGCAAATGTTCAGTGTGTGTTTTCTACAAGAAATCCAAGGGCAGTAAGTCTTCAAGTGGCTCACTGTAATTTTAGCCCTGGGAGGCTGAGGCTAGGGCAGGGGAAGAGGGGACCCCTGTTCAAGGTTCAGGCCAGATTCAATTACGTAGTGAGCTTCTGTCAAAAGTCAACCAGTAGGACACCCAAGATCCAAGGTATAAAATACAAGATCCTAGCCACAGTCTCAGCGGCAAAGCGGACAGTGCCCAGCACGTTAAGCAGAGATGAGGGTGTGTCTGTGGGGCAAGTGCACGGGCCTTGAGGAAGGGCTTCTGGGCCTAAGCCAGCGGGGCTGGAGCAGGTCCAAGGAGAGGTCAGATTCTGAGAAGCCTTTCAAAGGTGATGAGGACTTTGTTTCTAAGTGTGATAGGGAGGGCTCCAAGGAGGAGTGACCTACTGGTGTATGTGATAAACTGGAAGTGGGAAGCTACACAGGAAGCAGCCACAAGCTCTGTCTGGTTGAGATGTGGTCAGAGTCCAGGTGTGCTCTGAGTGTAGCCAGTAGGGCTTTCCGCTGCTGGCAGAGGAAGAGGTTGATCTCGGCCCCTGATGTCAGAGGTTTCTGGTGACAGTCACCTGGCCCAGCTGCTTAGGCCTGTGGCAAGGGAATGTGGTCAGAGTGTGGAGAAAAGCTGCTCACTTTGTGACAGCCATGGAACAGAAAAGCTTGCTAGGAAAAGGTTGAGCCCTCATGATCCCATCACCTCCCAAAGGCCCCAGCTCTGAATACTGCTGCCGGGAGCTGTGCCTTCACTCCAGGGCTCTGTGAAGGCATTTCAGATCCAAATCAAGATAGTGGGAGAGGAAGCAGTCAGTGACTCTGGAGTCTGGGGCTTAGTGGTGGATGGGTGGATGGATGGGTGCATGGATGGGTGGGTGGATGGGTGCATGGATGGATGGGTGGATGGATGGATGGGTGGATGGATGGGTGGATGGATGGATGGGTGGGTGGGTGGGTGGATGGATGGGTGGATGGATGGATGGGTGGATGGGTGGATGGATGGATGGGTGGATGGATGGGTGGATGGATGGATGGGTGGGTGGGTGGGTGGGTGGATGGATGGATGGATGGGTGGATGGATGGGTGGATGGATGGATGGGTGGGTGGGTGGGTGGATGGATGGGTGGATGGATGGGTGGATGGGTGGGTGGTTGAAGGCTGTCTATGAAAATGGGAAGATGGCAGGAGGATAAATCAGAACCATCCATCCGAAGGTTTCCCTCTTTAAGGGAAGGTATGCATCTTGCCGGTAGAATGTTCCACGCAGAAGGATGTCTTAGGGTTCCTATTTCTCTAAAGAGACACCATGACCACAGCAACTCTTTTTTTTTTTTTTTTTTTTTTTCGAGACAGGGTTTCTCTGTGGTTTTGGTTCCTGTCCTGGAACTAGCTCTTGTAGTCTGGTCTCGAACTCACAGAGATCCGCCTGCCTCTGCCTCCTGAGTGCTGGGATTAAAGGCGCGCGCCACCACCGCCCGGCCACAGCAACTCTTTTAAAGGAAAACATTTAATTGGGGCTGGTTAACAGGTTCAGAGGTTTGGTCCATTACTGTCATGGTGGGCTGCATGGCAGCACACAGGCAGTCATGGTGCTGGAGAGGGGGCTGAGAGTTCTATAACTGGGTTGGCGTGCAGCAAGAAGATTCTGGGCCTGGCTTGAGCATTTGAAACCCCAAAACCCACCCCCAGTGATACACTTCCCCCAACAAGACTACATCTACCCTAACAAGGTAAAACCTCTTGATAGTGCCACTCCCTAATGAAGTGACCTAATGACCAAGCATTCAAATATATGAGCCTATGGGGGCCATTCCTATTCAAGCTACCACAAAGGAACAGTGGGGACACGGCCAGAATACAGAAAATAATGGGTGCTTGCTGCATGCCAAACATGGTTCACTACCTGAATGCTCAGAGCTGTTGAGATAATCACTAGCCCCCTTCACACCGTGTGTCTAGGTGTGCCTTAGCAACAGAGTGGCACAGGTCCTACTGAACACGGCTGTATGAGAACCAGGCAACTGAGAGTGCAGCAGTTACTCAGGACTGGCCTTTGTTTTATTTTTGAGACAGTCTTCCTATGTAGCCCTGACTAGCCTGAGACGGTTACCAGGCTGGCCTTGAGCCTCTCTTCAATAGCTTGCTGTGTAAGTGTCCCTGTGCAAAACCCTTCACTGTTCTGAACTTTACTGAACGTACACTTGTTGCTGCTCATTCTTTTTTTTTTTTTTTGACAGTCTCACACAGCTGAGGTTGGTCTCAAACTCACCATGTAACCAAGGAGGGCCTCCTGCCTCCACCGTCCTCATGCTGGGATTATACTCTCGGCTACACAATCAGCATTGCGTTCTATAAAGCTCCATTCTACTTTGTGTGAGGGAGAGGACTACCTCCCACTGAGTGGTGTGTACCCTAGGCCAATGGTTTCCCACTGAGCTACATCCTCTGCACTTTATTGTACACAGAGCTCAAACAGGGCTTGTGACTATGGTGTCTATTGGTAGCAAGGCTGCCTTTCTCCCCTGTGTATGAGATGGGACTGCTGGGTTTGAAGGAAGAACTCCACCAAATTGTTTCCAAGGTGGTTTTCTCTCTGTGACCATGCTGACATCTACTAGACACATTTTCACATTCCAATCCTTGAGTCTTTATACAGCCAATATTACGGTTCACTGACACCTTACCCATCCTGAGGACCACAGAATCCTATATATAACGACCATTTCTCGTTGTCCTGCCTTTGACCCCAACACCTCCTTGAAGGCTGGGCTGTGGCCATTATTTATTCCTTCTTCCAACCTGGGCGGGGCTGAGTCTCCATGGGGCCTCAGATCTATCACTGGACCCTTTCTTCCTCAGGCTGCTATTCCCTGTCCGTCCGACTCAGTCGCCCAGCATCTTGGGACCGGATCAGACACTACAGGATACAGCGCCTCGACAACGGCTGGCTGTACATCTCACCACGCCTCACCTTCCCCTCGCTCCAGGCCCTGGTGGATCATTACTCAGGTGTGACATCCTTCATTCTTTTTTTTTCCTCCACAGCAGACTGTATGAGGGTCCTAGGGGGTCGTCAGTTGTGCCCTTAAAACCCGAACTGCTGGGGCTATCTAGGCAGAAGAGGCATGCCCTCCATCTATCCCCATGCAGCCCTGGTGCTGAGATGTGGGTGAGCACTGTCTATCCCATGCTGACAAAGAACTGACTAGAAGTCAACTGTGAGTTTGGCCAAAATCTCACTGCCATGGTGGTGGTCCAAAATCAAAGTGCCCTACAGCAGAGAACCAGATAGTGCTGTTCCTGGGTGCAATTCAATCTTGAGCATTTCTGGTTCCCGCCCTGTAACCAAGTGTCAAGGAGATAGGGAAAACCTCACTGGGCATGACGGCCTTTAATCCCTGAACTTGGGAGGCAGGCAGATCTCATGAGTTTGAGGTCAGCCTGGTCTACTGACTGAGTTTCAGAACAGCCAGGGCTACATGGAGAAACTGTCTCAAAAAAAACAAAGTCAGTAACAACAAACAACAAAGGTGGCTCCCCACAGTAGATCAGATAGGCCACAGGCTGACCATTCAGCTTGCTTTTCTCAGTTTTACACTGAACTCAGTATCACATAACTTAGCCCCAGATGAACTTTACATCTCAGCTGTCGTGAGACCAATACCTTGAGACTTCACTTCCCATTACGTTTTGGTGACCACGCTCCTAACGTGCTAACCACAGAACACTGCCAGGGCAGGTATCACATCAAGGGCTTGCGTCTCTTTCATAGAGCTGGCAGATGACATCTGCTGTGTGCTAAAGGAGCCCTGTGTCCTGCAGAAGCTTGGCCCACTACCTGGCAAAGATATACCTCTACCTGTGACTGTGCAGACGGCATCACTCAACTGGAAAGAGCTGGATAGGTAAGGGGAGCCAGGGACACCTTCTAGAGCCCAGAACATGCTTGAGCAGTGGTGAGGACAAGGCAGTAGTAAGGAAAAAGCAGGCATGGATTTCTGGGGAATTCAGCCAAGGGGAGAGGAAGGTTGGAGTGCGTGGGTGAACAGAGTCCTGAGCAGGGAGGTCAAGATGGCGTTAGATCAACTAAGAAATGAGGAGCCAGGCTGGGCAATGGTGGCCCACACCTTTAATCCCAGCATGGGAGGCAGAGGCAGGTGGATCTCTGTGAGTTCAAGGAGAGCCTGGTCTACAAAGAGTGCCAGGACAGGCTCCAAAGCAACACAGAGAAACCCTGTCTCAAAAAAAAAAAAAAAAAAAAAAAGGTTGAGCTGGAGTTTGTCAGCAGGAGGTCCCTGGTGCCATTCTGGGGTGGTAAACTGTGTGGCAAACACAGAAGTGGCTCCCTTACCCACTTTCCCCATCCACAGCAGCCTGCTGTTGGAAGCGCCTGCCAGTGGGGAGGCATCTCTTCTCAGTGAAGGGCTCCGAGAATCCCTCAGCTCCTACATCAGCCTCACTGAGGATAACTCCTTGGACAATGCCTAGTCCAAACAGAAGTCAAAGGGGAACCCAGGACCCAAATCCGGTCAAACCTGACGAAGCACCCTAGAGGCAAGGCTGGGATGCAGGTACATCCAGGGTCTCACATGGACCTTCTGCTCCTTCCTCTCATTATCTTCCTCCCAAGGCCTTAACCCTGCCTACAATTTCTAGTCCATGTGCATCGCAATTCAAGGCAGAGCCAGGCCTCTACAGAGTAAATTACTTCTGAGGTTTGGTGTTCCTAGGAAGGATGTCCATTACGACTGCTAATCAGCCCGACAAAAAGGCAGAGATCACCACTAGCATAAGGAGAGAAAAACTATTAGGGAAATTTACAAGACTCATTAAGAATGCAAACACATCTCAGACGGTAGGATGGCTCAAAGCAAAGACAAAGATAGGCAGAGTACCTGATGGCTTAACACAGCAGCCACCATCTTACCCCCAAGCAGAGCAAGACCAACAATTTAGATCTTCCCATGATTCCTCACATCAAGTCCCTTGACAGCCAAACTCTCAGATCTCTACTTCAGTGTTCATCCACTGCCCAGCCATACCCTAGTGCTGCCATCTGGTGGCCAGACACAATATGACACCTTTTAAGTCCCACCTATCTCAGTGCTGGGCCAGAACATCAGGTAGTAGACCCTGTCCGCAATGTTAAAGCCAAAGCAGTAACCCTTACCAACTCCAGCCCCTTGTTTCCCTGACAGCCATAAAGAGAAAGAGGCCTGACTGAAGCAGCTATGGGAACAGAGGGAGGAGGAAAGCTGAAGCTCTGTCTAACACTCTCCCTAGGTTCTGAGGGTGCCAGTGGGGGAGATAAGCAAGGCTTTAGTTTAGCAGGCATGCCAACACTTTGTTAGACTTGTTTATTCAAGTATCTGAAAACACTCTACAGTGGAAACTTATTAGACGGCTGCTCATACTGCGCTATGGATCACACGCATGGTGTTTTCAGAAGACTTGAGAGTTTAAAGACTGTACACCTGACGGAGAACTAAGGAAGACAATTTAATGTTTCATCCGGATCCAGAGGCGCATCAGATTAAACAGCAGCTCCACTTGGCAAACAGCTGTTACATGATGGTATCCAAGAAAAAAAATGGTTGGCGATGGACAAATTCAGAAATGCTTCCCCAAAGGCAGATGGTTCTTTGAAAAGTTTCACAACCCTTGCAGAAAACACCAATGCCCAACACGCTGATTCTAAGTCCAAAAGACATGGGTCTTCTCAGTTCCACATGGCAGGAGTGCCCCAACAAGCATGTGTCTGTGCTGTAATAAAAGGGTCCTTCGGACTGGACAGAAGAGATGGGAGCAGACGCCATCAGTCATAGTGGATGGCAGTGTAAAAGATGATCCAAATGACCTAGAAGAGACACAAGCAAGTTTCATGTTGTCACCTGGATCAACACAGCAGCACCCCTTCCCCCCATGAAAAAGGCAATGTATAATTCTGAGGTCTTTAGGATTTCATAAGAGTAAGTATCATTAATCCCAAAACATTACACCAAAGAGAAGGCCTATTCCCGTGGTCACTTGTCATTTCCCATCTCTCCCTCCCCTCAGCTACCGGCAATCACCAACCTACTTTCTGTCTCCATGGCCCTGTATATTCTGGACATTTCACTAAGTGGAATCACGCAGCCTTTTATGTCTAGGTTCTTCCACTTAGCATGTTTTCAAGGTTCAACTATACTGCAATACCACAGAAAGAATGTTTTACTGTATGGATATAAAACATTTTACACTCCAGATAACAGACATGTGGGTAGTTTAATTTTTCCTACTAGGAATAATGCATATACTTAATATACACATATCTATCTACATTTTTGGTTTTCTTCTTTTAGAGACAAAGTCTCTCTATGTAGTTCAGTCTGAATTCAAATTTATAATCCACCTTGCTGGTATTATAGTTGTGAATGACTATACCTAGCTCCACAAATAAGTATTAAAACACTTCCCAGTTTCTAATATGTAGTTGATAGTAGGCCCTGGATTTACACAAGTGTACAGCACCCCAGACCACATCTTTTGGAGGATCTCCTTGATGTGCCACTAAAAGAACAGTAGCCCAACCATATAGCGTAAGTCAACTAGTGTGCTCCCTGAATGACGGACGGCTCATGATCAACAGAAGCTACTGTAGAGCTTCCAGCTACACATACCATGAACAAGGCAAATGATGTCATGAACCCTTCCTTGGTGAGCTCCCATGTGCCACCATATTCTTCCTCGTCGATCTGTAGGTAGTTGCTGAAGTAGAGATACAAGACTCCTGCATTGATCAGGCAGAATCTGGAGTGGAGGGGGGGGAAGCAACAAACAAACCATAAGCTTTGAAGCTGCACGCTCTCCCAGCTGTTAGGGCACTGAGTTCCAGTTTATACTTTGCTTATGTGTATTGCTGTCTCCCCACCCAGGCAGGGGATGACCCGGAGAGAGAAGCTCCAAGCTTAGGAAAACAGGCTCAATTTGTTTACTTCATCGTTATGAGAGTATGTGTAAGTTTCTCCAGAGGAACCTCAACTCCCTCATCTAAAATGGGGGGGGGGGGTTTGGCTAATTATTACGGTGGGAGGGGTGAACAGAATACACACAAATGTCTAGACCTTCAGTGGAGTTTCCCACCTAAGCTGGAAATTTAAGAAACAACTACTTTTAGTCAAAAGCATGTGATAAAATATCTAAAGCATGGGGCAGGGGTCTCAATGGCAGAGTACCTCTCTAGCACACACAAGGCTTTGGGTTCCATTTCTAACACTGCCCAATTCTTCAATCTACTTGTTTTTGTTTTTTTGAGATAGGGTCTCACTATGTAGCCAGGCTGGCCTCAAGCTCATAAAAGATCTGCCTGCCTCTATCTCCAAAGTGCTGGGATTAAAGTCATATGCCACTACATCCAGACCACTCTCTAATTTAAAGTACACAGATTTTCTCAGCCTCCTTGAAGAAATCACAATGGCTGCAATGCTACCCCAAACAGGAACTATACCAGCCATGAGCCTCAGCAAAGCTCCAACTGAGTGTTGGTCAGGGGACAGACATATATTTAATTGCTTTATAGCCTGATAAAGCAAGCAACAGTACTGTTTCTCTCTGGGTAATTCCTAAAAGGCCATTTGTGAACTTCACCTGCTTGGAATGAATTGGTGAACACAACGCCCTTGCCTTCGGCTTACCATCTATTATTAGGTGGCTCGGAACAGCAATGGGAATGGAGTTGAAACTTTTATGACCTCCCCTGCAGGCCTGAGTCCTATGATGTGCAAGCTGATGTAGGGACTGGAGCACATGAGCACAAAGAACAGGGGTGGGAAGCAGAGATTGTTTCACAGACTGGTGACCTAAGGAAGTACACTGGTACTTGGTGGAATTAATGGTATCCTAGGAGAGGTGAGAGGCTTCATGAGTAAGGTTTGTGGGTTTCTCATATGTAGAAGTAACAGGAGTGAGGAAGTCTGATTTACACATGTTACTCAGGTTTCAGGATTTAAGAGCAAACATCTTGGAGATGAGCAAGCATGTCTTAGAAGAGGTAATTAGTGCTCAAGGCTTTTTAAACCCAATGGACTAGGTGTACAACAGTTCTTGGAGTTCACAGGAAACACAGTTGTTAAATAAGCTCATGTTGGACATGGTCAGTCATGTCTGCAATCCAGCACTTGGGAGGCTGAGGCAAGAAGAACTGCTGGAAGTTCAAGGCCAGCCTGGACAGACAGATGTTGGGTGGTAGCGGTGCAGGTGGATCTCTGTGAGTCTGAGACCAGCCCAGTCTACAAAATGAGTTCCAGGACAGCTAGAGCTGTTACACAGAAAAATCCTGTCAGGTGGTGGTGGTGGTGGTGGTGAGTGGCAGGGGAAACAACGGAGACGGACACACTGAAAGAAATCAAACTCAAACCAAACCAACCTACAACAATAGGCTGAGATGGAGAAGGACCATGGAGTCAGGAATTGGGGATGGCAAGAGAAGGCTGACATAGGCACTACCTTTCCAAAGCAATACCTGATGCAGACAGAAGGCACAGGAATAAAGGTATTTAAATCTAATCTTAGGTGAGGTTAGAGGCAGGGTCAAGAATGGACTAGAAGGGCCTCACACTGACTAAGCTTCAAGGATGAGTTTCTATTATCTAAATGAGGGACAAAAAGTTACACAGCAAAGAAGTCAATGGATTAGTGTGGTAGACTAGGGTAACAGAATGAATATGAAAAAGGTTGAGTCCCAAATAGAGGCCAGCCTAGGCTACCTAGCAAGATCCCAAAAGCCACAGGGTGGGTGAGGTATGGTTGGCACATACAAATCCAGCATTTGAGAGGTAAAACAAGATTAAGGGTTCAAGGTCATTCTGGTATTTGGGAGGAGGTATCTGCAGGAGTCCAAAGTCAGTCTGGGTAATACAGAGACCCTGTCCCAGTAGCAAAGGGCCAGGCCTGTCCATCAGCGTTCAATCAATGAGGCCACTGGTGGAGAGAAAGGACTCCCTTGAGTTGTTTGTTCTCTCACTTCTACATGGGTGTCCCCCTTCATATACACAAAATACATGCATGGAACATATACAAGTAAACGAAAACACCAGTTTTAAAAAGGTTAATCATTAGCTGCGCACATATGGATTATGTGCTGAGCTGAGACCCAGAGATGGGTCATCAATGCAAAGACTTAGTACACAAAATAGCTGTCGGCCATTCTTGGGCAAATCACAGATAAGGAAACATGAGAAGTTTTATGGTAGCTGATGCTGAGGGCCACAACAGGATGAAATAAAGTAAGACGGGACTTAGAGGGCAGCCAAAGTTTCTGGAGAGAGAAGGGAAGTTCACTAGAAATGAGCACTAGGAAGTCATGCCTCAAGCAAGGGAAGTTGGGGATGGGTCATGGAAAAATAAACAAATTCTTTCCTTTCCAATAGCAGGTGGAAAGTACCAACCCAAAAGAGGGTAGGGTTTGTCCAGAGTGAAAAATTGGCTGTGCCAACAGCGTGGGACTGAATCCCAGAAACAGCAACCATGGAATAGTGGCAGCACACTGGGTGAGCCAGTCCAAAGCGCACTCGTTTCTTGTTCTTTCAGCCACATTTTATAAATCTAATCACATAACTATAGTGGTGAGCTGACTCGTGGAATGCCCAATGAACACAAGTCTGCATTTAACAATTTACTTACATCATCCATTTAATTCACCTGTCAGTCACTCCCCTGTTGCTATTTTACTGATGAGAAGACTGATCTTAGGTAAACCCAAGATTATACAGGTTCAAAGAAACAGATCTAAAGAACTTGAATGTAGTTTTCTATGAAGTGGTTTTGTTGTTGTTGTTTTTTTTTTTTTTTTTTTTTTTTTTGGTTTTTCGAGACAGGGTTTCTCTGTGGCTTTGGAGCCTGTCCTGGAACTAGCTCTGTAGACCAGGCTGGCCTCGAACTCACAGAGATCCGCCTGTCTCTGCCTCCCAAGTGCTGGGATTAAAGGCGTGCGCCACCATCGCCCGGCTTTGTTGTTTTGAGACAGGGTTTCTCTCTGTAGTCTTAGGTGTTCTTGGCTGTCCTGGAACCCACTCTGTAGACCAGGTTGGCCTGGAACTCACAGAATTGCCTGCTTCTGCCTCCTGAGTGCTGGGATTAAAGACGTGCACGATCACTGCCTATGATTTTTTTTTTTAAGGCTGTTTGTACACAGTAAGAAGAGCCATGAACTACGCTGAATGATCTCAGAGAAATCCTTTCAGAATGCTACAGAAGGGCCAGGAATTGGCACATACCTTCAGTCCTGGCACTAGAGAAGTAGAAGCAGGATATCTCTGTGAGTTCAAGACTAGCCTGGTCTACAGAGTGAGCTCAAAAACAGAAACCACAACACAACCTTACAGGAGGGCCACAGTGAACAAGGGCATTTGTAGCCAAGCCAGCCTGGCACAAGCTCAACCACAAGAATCCACATGGTGAAAGGCGAGAACCAACCCCTGGAAGCAGTTCTCTAGTTGTCATACATATGCCGTGAAGAGTGTAATAAAAAAATTTTTAGGAGCTGGTTGCTCTTCCAGAGGCCCTGGGTTCAATTCCCAGCACCCACATGACAGCTCACAACTGTCTGTAACTCCCATTCCAGGACATACTCACACAGACAAAACATGCACATAAAATAAAAATAAATCTAAAAAACAAAATTTAAAAAAATGTTTTAAGGGCTGTGGTAAAAGCTCAGTTGTTAAGAGCTCTGGTTCTCTAAACATAAAAAGCCCAGTCATGGCAACATATGCCTGTTATCCCAGGATTGGGGGTTGCAGACAGCCAGACCAACCTGGGATAGTGAGAGACTCTGTCACAAGGCAACACTGCACAAATAGAGGACAACACCAGCATCCTGTCCCAGCCTCTGAATGTACACACATGGCACACCATGCGCATGAACCATACACCAAAGGGGAAATCCCTTAAGACTAACAGGTGCAGAAGCTCTGAAGTCACACCACCCCTTCCCCACTGTGGCCTTCCAATTACTCTGGTCTTTAGGACAAGCTCCTCTTCCTCTGCCATTATTCTTACCTGCCTTCTCCTTAACTCACATTATTCTATCTTTCTACCTTGTCCTACCTAGGAAGAGCTGTATGAACCCCAGGACTGATATCCTACCACCCCAAACAGTCTTACACGTCCACTCCATTAAGACCCTGCACAGCAAGATGGGTAGTGGTGGCGTCACCTTTATCCCAGCACTCGAGTTTCTGTGAGTTTGAGTTCTGCCCGGTCTACAGAGTGAGTTCCAGGACAGCCAGGACTGTTACACAAGGAAACCCCGTCCCGAGAAACAAAAAATAAACAACAATAACAAAGATGATACACAGCATGGCCTCTTAATGGTTTCCTTGTACAGTGCATTGCTCAGTATAAAAAAATGTAGAAAATCTTTTAGCTAAGAGGCACTGAATAGTAAGTAGTTTATTCTTGCTCACTTTTTGTGTGGTTTCAGTTATCTACCATCAACACGGACAAATGGGAAGTTCCAGAAATGAACATGTCATGTACCATGTAAGTGAAATGCCCAATTTTCAACTACAGGCTGCTCCAGGCAGTGTGTGAAATCTCACGCTGCCCTGCTTCACCGCACCACCCCTCCCCCTCCATCCAGCACCCTAACGCTGCATGTGCTCCCTCCCTCTAGTAACACAGGGGCTTGGTTATCAGACTGTAACCGTATCAGGGCTTGTGCCCAAACAATCCTGGCTTTACTTAGTAATGGCCTCAAAGTTAGAGAATAGCGATGCCAGCAACCTGGATACACCATAAAAGCCATGAAATACTTTCTTCAAATATCTCCTATTATCACTAGCAGGAGGAGCATAAAACAGGTATTTTGAGAGAGGAAAGGACCATATAATTTTATTACAGCATATTGATATAATTATTTTATCAGTTACCATTGTTAATATCTCATGATTCTTAATTTGAAAAAAATTTCTTAGTTTCTTTTTTTGAGACAGGGTTTTTCTGTGTAGCCCTGGCTGTCCTGGAACTCACTCTGTAGACCAGGCTGGCCCTGAACTCAGAGATCCGTCTGCCCCTGTCTCCTGACTGCTGGGTTTAAAGGTGAGCACCACCGCTCTCATGATCTTATCAGAGTGGACGCATAAAACTGGAACTAAGGGCATGCACCACCACTGCCTAAAATGTATTTTTGTTTTTTTGAGACAGTCTTATTCCGTATCCCTTACTGACTGGCCAGGAACTCCCTATGTAGCCCAGTTGGCATAACTCATAGAAAGCCTCCTGACTCAGCCTCCTAGGCATAGAGATATGCACCATCGTGCCGAGCTCCTCATTTAGAACTTGAACTTTCTAAAAGCTATGTAACTGGCTGAGGGTATCCACTGAGGGTCTTTGAATAGATCTGTCAGCAGGAGGGACTACTATATATTTCTTTTGGGTTAGTACTGTCAAAGAAATTCTCCAATCTGGTTCTGAAGCATACTCATGCCTCACTTTCTAAAGAAACTGGTAAGAAACACCGTCAGTCCTCGAACAGCCAGCATGGCTTTCCATTGGCAGGGGTGAGACACAGGAGTGCTCACTTGTATTCCTGGATAAAAAGAGACCAGGCAAGTCTCCTAACTTGCAGAAGAGCTTGCTCACAGTTCCTCCTTAGGAGTTTTAAGTCTTTCAAATGCATTCATGGGCACAGGCTTGTATTCAGTAACTTGCTAACCTGAATCATCATGAGCAGGGTCACAGGGTGTTGCTATTGCCCAGAAGTGAAGTAAAACGAGCAAGGCCAAGCCTCCTACTTGGGGTGGGGGTGAAGGTGGTACTTTTAAAATGTAGGGACCTGAGAGTAATTCCTGCCCAAAGCCAAAAGCTATACATCGGCAAAATTCAAAGCATAAAAAAATGGTCATCAACTACAAAGGTCCTCTACTTCCTAAACTAGTACAGGCACCAAGGCCAGGCCACAATTAAGAATACTTGTTGCCCACAGTAGTATGGTAACCACTTGCAAGGAGTCACGTTAGACCCACAAATGCATAGACTGGCCCAGATTCAGGACAGCAGCCTGCCAGCTAACGAACACTGCCCCAGGCCTAGGAGTGCTAATGCTGACTTTGCTTCAGCAGTCAGATGCACACGGTGCCAGTCATAACGAGAATGGAGCCTCCATCTGAAAAGAAACCAGGAGTAAAGTGTGTTGACACATGCCTGTAAGCATCAACAGCACCTGGGAAGTCGGGGCAAGAGGACAGGCGTTCAAGTGACAACCCAAGCTACATGAGACCTTGTCCCTTACAAAAATAAAAATAGGAATGAGGGTCCTGAGCACAGCTGCTTACGAGGCGGAGGCAGGAGAACCACCACATGCTAAGCTCCAAAGTGAGATCCCGCCTCAGACAAAACAAGAGGGTGAGATACCCGAGACTTACCCTGCTATTCCCAGGAAGCCTCGCAAGGGCAAAATGCCCCAAATTACACCCAAGACCACAGCAATGATCTGTCGGAACCAGTAGATCACATCTAAAAATTCATCCTATAAAAGAGACACAATGTATGCATTATCTGGAGTGGCTGCCACAGAACAGCTATAGATGAAGTAGCGAAAGTTTATTAAATAGCTCTTTATCCCCCCCCCCCCCAAGACATTCTCATTAAGTAGCCCTGCTTGGCCTGGAATCTGCTATGTAAGCCAGGCCTTGGCTGTGGCGTGCTGGACTAAAGACATGTCCCACTACGATCCAGCTTAGTATGTGGTTCTTTTTTGATCTGTTCATTTTATTTGGTATGTATGATGTTTTGCCTGAATGTATGCATGTGTGTCTGCAGCCCATGGACGCTGGCTGGAGAAGGAGGGCCTTGGATTCCACTGTGAACCACCATGTGGGTGTTGGGAATCAAACCCAGGTTCTCTGCCCAAGTAAGCAGTACTCTGAGCCATCTCTCTAGCCCCCGAATGTGGTTCTGTCATGAGTTCTACTAAGGTGTGGTGAAAGACAATGTATTTAGACATTAGGAGATTAGAGAAACCATTACTTCTTGAAAAGAGGCTGCTAGAAGGCAGGGAATGTGGGCACTGTGTTCCTGGCCACTGGTAACTCTTCCCTTACCAGGCAAGTTCTAGACAGTCCAGGGCGGGGGGCTATTAGTCTCAGTACCCCTTTCTGTGCCACCCAGGAAGGAAAGCACGGTGGTGTGGGAAGCGGAGTGCTTCAGGCGTGTGCACGAAGAACACTGGTGGTTTGTGAACTGCCCTGGACTCCAAACACCAGTCCTTGGACCAGAGAAGAAGCAGCAGAAGGAAAAAAATGACACAGCAGATCATAAAGACTCTGCAGGTTTTGCAAGAGCTGGGCAGGGCTGGGGGCAGGCCAAGGGCACCTTCAGGAAGTGCTTCCCATCCCCCGCCCCCGGAACTGAGGGAAAGTCCAACTTCAGTAGTTCAAACAACGGAAGGATTCCAAATACAACATTCTTTTCAAACTATCTGGAATCTGCATGGTGACAGTCTTCGAGATCACAGAATGGGGCAAACGTGGGAAGCGTCCACGCTCAGATCCTCTGAAGGTGACCAGCGAGAGCATCGTTAAGTCCCCAATCACTTCTTACCCACGTCCAGCGACACTTCTTCCTAACACCCACCCTCCTAAGGTGGTCTGAGACCCCGCTCTCACGGGGCATCTCGTCTTTTTCATCCAATCGAGGAGGGAATGTACCACCCCTCCCGATGTGCAGACGTAAACCCACTTTGGGGATTCCGCACCCGGCCCGCTCGCAGTCTTCAAAAGCTCTCACTACTCCGGATCCCGCAGGGCAAACGGCAGAGGACGACGAGGCTCCCCTCGCTCCGGCCCGCACTCGTCCGCTGCACCCCGGCACCCTCGCCACCCGCTCCCCGCTCCCACGGCCGGGACGAGGGACATCCAGACCCGTTCTCCTGAGCCCGCACCCTCACCCTCGCGGGGCCTTCCGCACCTTGTCGTCCCAGGCCGCGTCGCTCCGCAGCACCTTGCTCCACACGGACACCTTGAGGGCCCCGTTGGCCAGCTGCGGCTGAGGCGGCTCCTCTTTCCGCCGCCCGCCGCTCATCCTCCCGTCGCGCCGCCCGACCCGGGCCTGGGGCGCGCGGGCCGAGCCAAAAGGAGTCGGGTCTGGGATGGCGGGTCTCAGCGCGCGGGGCAGCGGCGGTCTAAGCAATGAACTCCCGAGGCACGCCGAGAAGCCTCTCGCTATGCCAAGCAGCCGGCTCGCTAGCTCTACGGAGCAGGCGCCGCGGAGGGAGGGGCGTGCCCTCTACGGCGTGCGCACGCAGCCAATCGGCAGCCACGCAGCCATCTGTCCGAAAGTTTGGCGACGCCTCGGCGCAAGCGCCTTCCGCTGAGCGGAAGTGACGGAAAGCTTCGATCAGGCACTAGGTAGGGTGAGCGAGAAGGGACAAGCGCGGCGCCGAGGCGCTCTGACCTCGAGGAGGCGCTGTGGAGACTGAGGAAAGCCGAGGTTGACGTTGCCGAGTGAGTCGCGGGGCTCGTCCCCTTGAGCCCCAGTAGAAGGGGCCTTGCTACTTGCGCGCCTTCAGAGCCAGGTCCTTGGTCCCCTGGAGCCCTACGCTGCCCCGCTGGAGTTAGCGACTGTGAGTTCTGCCCCAAACCTACAAGTTACTCAAGACTTTGTTCGCCATCCACCGTCATGACTATGGAAAAAAATAAAGTTACCTCGCCTGGCAATGGCTCGAGTCTATCTACCATCTGGAGAATGGTGAGTCCCAGGCCACGTCAACCTGGGCTATATAGCAGGGCCTGTCTCAAAAGGGGGAAAAATTGTATAACTTATCAACTCAGCTTGCCCAGCATGCTCTTCTGACAAACGTGAGGCTAAGATCCCAAGGGGGGAAAAATGCTTTTCAAAGGGTAAGGCAAGTTGGAACCAACAGAGAACTTTGGCAGGGGACGTAGAAAAGTAGTAGGTGTAGTAGCTGTCAGGATATGTATTGCGCCCTCGCTGTGTGTTGTTGCTCTTTCACAGAGTATGTTTTGGGCGGCCGGTAGCAGCTGCACCCCCTGCGAACTTGTACAGAGGTACACATTCTGGGGTATCCCATGCCGTGGCAGCCCAGGCAGGAGTTTTAGGCTGGCCTGGCTACCCTGCAAGATCCTGTGTCACAGCTAGCCTGGGCTACCTAGCAAGGCTAGCCTAGCATACAAGTGAGAGAATCTGTCTCAAATGAACAAAAACAAC